GTTAAAAGTTCTAATAGATTATATAATAAGGTAACGCCGTTTCACGACTGTTTGCAAAAAATATGCATCGCGCACACTTATTTTGTTTAGTTCTTACCTTAGTTAACCTATAGTTTTATAAGTACTACCCCAAGTCATAATACCATATTGCAAGTATGGGTATATTAAAGAATAATATACTTGTCTTAATGTCTCAAAACTTAAGGAGAATCTCAGTTTGTATAGTATTGAAATTTTATTGTCGATATGTAAAATTTGAGGTTTCCAATTAAGATTTTTATCAAGAAATATCCCCAAATACTTAATATAATCCTTTTGTTCAATATTAGGTATAGTAATATTTGATTTTTTCCGTTGTGATGAAATTACCACAATGTGATTTCCTAAAATTAACAGCTAACTTATTGGCTTTGCAATAATCTAACAAATGCTGAAATTCTTGTTGCATAATTGTCTGTAGTTCATTTGAATTTTTACTAGAATAAAATAATGCTGTATCATCAGCAAAGATTCGAAAAGCGACCTTTTTTGAGCAGTTTGGCAAATCATTTACATAAATTAAAAAGAACAAGGGTCCTAATGTTGAACCTTGTGGTACTCCACAATTGACTTTTAAATTACTAGACCGAACTCCATCAATCTCAACATATTGCATTCTATTATTTAAATAATTGGTTAACCAAACAAACAAGAGGTGTAACCACGAATTCCATATCTGTATAGCTTCAGTAGAAGTAAGCTGTGGTTTACGGTCTGAAAAGCTTTTGATAGGTCAAGAAAATACCACAAGTTATATTTTGGTCATCAATGTTAGTTTTTAATTGATCAGTTAGTTCCAATATTGGCTGTTCTGTAGAATGGCCCTTTCTCAATCCAAATTGATTACTAATAAAGAACAGCATTCTTTTCAAAAAATGTTATCAGTTGGCTAATTAGCCGGCAAAGGTTATGTAGAAGTTAGTAGAGCCGCCGAGAGATTGCCGAGAAATGGTGTCTTACAATATATTGTGCTTTATTGCATATCCAGCACTGAGGATTTATATTCTCGGTTAAAAAATCTTGCATCAAGGGTCTTCGTAGCTTTGGCGGCCCTTTTGAGCTAGCTCCCGGGCCCCGGGGCAAAATTCCCCTCAAACAAAAAAGTATATTCAATCTCACCTGAAAACTGCAGATATTTGATTACTCTGTAGATTACATTTTTGAGCTAGTTTTTCTTTGAGAGCTTTTAAAGTCAAAGTTTCTAAATAAACGGCTTGATATTCTTTCATTGTTGATGAGTCATGCATTGACTCCACGCATACGTACATCGTTAAAACTGGTTTGGCTGCCCTAGAAACACAGAATTACACTACGACTGAGATGCTGTATTTCATATCAAGGACTTTTCAAGGTTTTGGTTGTACGAACCCTGTCATATTCATATTTTAAAAAGACAAAAGTTGTCGAAAACCATCATGATGTTTTAAAATGAACAAATTAGGTAGATTGTCTTCATGTGAATGTTGCAAACATGCTTGCTAAAAACGAAACCTTAATGCAAACATTACCTCGTTTGAATTAAATTATGTAATCGAATGCCTTCTGCATTCCCAGCAATTAATATCTTATCTTTTTTACTTAATCGTAGAACATCAGCGCCTAATAAGAAAGGAACATATTAAAATAGAATATAACTATGAATATACAAACACAAGTTTAGTATCATTAACAAAGCAAATAACTCATGGGTGCATGTGTATATATATAGTTCTAAAAAATGGAATAACAAACCTGTATAGTTATTTAACTGTGGTAAAATGGCGTGGAATCGATTATCTGCCAGCCATGCTCTCGTTTCGTCTACTGTAGAGTCTTTGGTAATTCTCTATACAAAGAACCACTGAGCTTAGTCCTAATACAGTACTTGATGAGTACTTATTTATACCCTGCAGACAATCACCGTTTTTAAACTTTGTTACAACTGGATTATACAATGTACACGGGTCAATTTAAGGTTTTAGCCCTCTCCCTACAGTCCTTTGTTAGACCAGGAGCCGATTGTACATACGGATAACGCTAACCAACCACGTTGTAAAGCTATAAAACTACAAATATGGAGTTCGCAATTAATAAAACGAAGACTTGATTTATAAATACTAAAGCTTAATGTCGCTTGCACTAATAAACAGGCAATTTTAAGAATGCTTGAAAAAATCCCTATCCAGGTATACCGATATTGTAACACTGGCGTATGAAAATTACCGCTGAAATTAGGTTATCGTAAAATTTCTTTAGAAGTGTTTAATCTTTACAAGTGTTGCATCTGTTCATAAGCTGTTGACAAGTTGTGTTCGCACTGCTTGTTCCTAGTTGTCGGAACAAGTTCGGAACAAGCCGTTAACAATTTGTAACAAGCTTGCAGCAAAGAAGCATTGACAACTTGGGACAAGCAGTGCGAACACAACTTGTTGATGGCTTGTTAACAGACTTGCTGCAAGATGTGAGATTTTTGCGTGTGTAACCAATACTCGGGAGTCTATACCACACTGAACATACATGATCATTGTCTATTCTATACTTACAACACCGTTGCATCATATTCGGCCTACAGTGTTGGATACGTTTCAACGCGGGCCTTTAATTAAGGTCGATTTACACTACACATTTCTTGCTTACAATACACCCTTTCGATAATTACGTCACCAATACACTGTTTTCAACTTAGGACCATCTTAAATGGAAAGGATTTCAAGTTTTTTTCTCATGGGCTATGCACAGAGAAGCAGAACATCCTTCTTCAGCACATGCATGAAAAGAAATTATTTACAGTACCTCATTTTGATCAATAAATGTGGTCATGACCTGGAGCCTCGTTTTCGTGTTAAAGCTTATTTCCACATTTATTGGTCAAAATAAAGAATTTTTTTCATGCATGTGTTGAAGAAGGATGTTCTGCTTCTCTGTGCATAGCCCATGAGAAAAAAACTTGAAATCCTTTCCATCATATAAGGTGGACCTAAGTTGAAGACAGTGTAGTTGTGACGTAATTATCGAAAGGGTGTATTTAAGTTGTACTGTGTAAATCAAGCACACAAATCACTTACGACAACGTAGGCCTTTAATTAAGGCAAAGAAATTATTTACAGTACCTCCGGCACAGATAGCGTTAATGGCGTGGATGAAACGGGAGAATAATAGCTTTGTGGAGATTGAATAGATGAGTTGAGAGAATTCGAATATGAACTCCTAAACAAAAAATGACAGGATTTGAATCCATGGATAGTAAGATTAATAAAGATAACGAGACTAGTATCATTGCATGGCGGACACTTCGCAAAATCTATTAAATATTGGGGGGAGGCAATTTGGATTCTCATCATATTGCTTCTCAAAACATTCACAACTCTCTTGTTTTCTCAACAGTAGAAACACTGGTCAACTACGTGACGAGAACAATTTAAATCTTGTATTGCTATCCGGTATGAACCTTGTTTAGTTTCCAGATGTAATCATATTGATGTATTATGATTTATGATGTATTATGTTGATTACTATTATATTAATTTCATGTATTACACATACATGTAATACTAGTTGTACTTACGTTGGGGATGACCAAAAGCTTTCTTCCGAACATTCCACAAGATTCTGGAAAAATATTTCAAAATTAAAGAAAATTTCGAAAATATAAGACATCACCACGATTGCTTGAAAAAATGGGGTATTTGTACTTTGTAAAACCCGGAACCCACCCGAAACATCCAGGAATCCTAACAGGGCGGACCTCCCCCCGCCCAAAAAAAAAAGATAAACAAATAAACAACCCAGAAATATCTGAAAGGAATCCTGCCCGGACTACACCCTATCCTACAGTGTATACACTCACGAAACATGTTTTGCTGGAGGTCTACGGCATTGAGTAGGAACACCCCGAAACCCTGCCAAAAATAGTCCAAGAAGTACGTATTTGCTCGAGAATTCAGAGTAAGTTCACAGTTTAAATATAATCGTTACACTGTTTTCAACTTACCTCTGTAAGAATTGTCACTTCAGAGGGAGGTTGATATTGTCCCTGAAACAAAGTCACAAATTTTAAAGGCCCATTTCCACTCAAAAAAAAAATTTCCACGGACAGAAAGTTTTCCGAAAATGTCATTGTTAAAAGTTGAAAAATTTCAACTTCAAATTCTTCTACCAACGGAAAATTTGTGTCGGCCAATCACATTTTACAAAATTTTCTTTCTGCGGAAAACTTTCCTGAGTGGAAATGGGCCTTAAAAGCAGTGTATTGCAATAAATTTCTAACTCCCGCGCCATTCTGGATCCTAATTACTCAAAACAAGAAACGATTGCCTAAAAATTAGAGTAATAAAAAGGCAAAATTCCGATTCTAATTGATAAACTCTTCCAGTTATTTAATAACAAATTTTGTGTTTGAATAACTGACAAGTCTTGGGCTTGGCTGATAGTTAACCGCCTTCTCGAAGTAGCCATAGAAACCTTCTCTGCAAAGACGATGTGCAAATATCCTCTGACTGGCGCAAGTATCTCGCTGGTTACATCGGTTCTGACCATGGTAAGAGGAGTATGTTCATTCTTTTGAGTTTTGTGGATAAATGGTATGGTCCACTCCGTGTACTGAGCGATATACAGGTAGCTAAGTACGAACCTCAAGCAGCCTATACAGTGGCCGGTTTCCGACACCGTTTTACGTATTCGTACAATTCCTGGTATTCAACACGAGCTACAACCAATCGACGAAATCATCGATACCCAGTTCCTTCCTGCCAAGGGTCAGCAACCATGCACTTGTAGCAATCCTCTAAACCTTACTCTAACCACAATCATATGGGCCTAACATTAACCCTAAACTAAAGCGAACTCTGAGTTGAAATGTAAAAAAATTCTCTATCCATCCCTTGACGATTGTGAGCTACTCGTACTACCCCGCACACTTAGGAGATCTTGGCATTCACATTTTTACCGATATTTGCGCGCCTGAGAAAGGAAATTCAAAAACTAGTGTGTCAGGATCTTACTGAGACGATTATTCACCAGAATAGCGGAGAATTTGATGAGCATATGGAGACAGCCCAAGCACGCCAACGTCTTACAAATGAGCGAGAATCGAGCAAAACAGTCAACTTGAGGTTTTAAGATCAAGAATGACATGAACAGCTTCGTGCAAACAATATCGCACATCTAAAGGGTTCGTCAATCAGGTAGACAGCTTTGCCTCTCAGTAAAGAATGGTATGTCTTCAACAAGCGGGAGTTTTTCGATGCAATCTGTCTCCAGTATCGTCGGCAGTTGAAACGGTTACCGACATACTGTGCCTGTGGTAAATTATTTTAGTTGAACATACATGTACCGATCCTGTTTCAAGTTTACAGTATCTACCAGTTACACCACGAGGTTTGAGATGTATTATAGCAGCTGTCATTGATGAAGTTGCTTATATTTCAACGAAACCAGCCCTTGCACCATTATCTGGCGAAATTTCACAAACAATGCCGTCGGTTACAGCAAGAGGTTTCTGCATGGCAGATGTGAAAAGGCATTCTTTGATGTTGAGGTCTTCAACCCGCACGCCACGACATATCGAAACCAGAGCCTGAACAATGCCTTCCGTAGGTGTTTAGCGCATTCGGTGGATGTGGCAGGGAAATTCAGCACAAACCAGACTGCTGTGAAGAAGCACCTAAAGTCAGCTGTTCCTTTAGCTGGTTACGTCAAAAGCAGTAAAATTGAGTTTTTCCTCATCCGCGCGCACATGTACATTGTCTTCGGCAGGGTTCTCCTTATCAGGTGGTAATCAGTAAAATTTACCGTTTCGACAACCACTGATTACCTACAGTAGAGTTTGTGTACATGGTGTGCAAAAATCCTATGATCAATCAGTTATTGCTGACTCTATTAATTGCTTAGTATTGATACAGATTGAATACAGAAATGTCCTACATAAACCGGATTAATGAAAAACAATTGTTGGCGGGATGTTCATATATCAGTGCAGCGTGGGCCTGGGAATTGAGTAATTAAATAACTACAAATGTTTATGCAAGGCTTGTTGTTGTAAACACAGTTTTGTGTAAATGGTGTGTTTAGAATATAATCCTTAGTATCTTAATATGCATAACACAAATTTTGTTCCTAAACTTACCATTTCCTCTTTTGATAATTGTTCAAGTTTTGATAATTCTGTTTTATGTTTTCTGTCAGCACCCTTGGTCTAAAAGCAAGAAAAGAGGTAGAAGCCTATATTTATAATAAGTATATCTCCAATGAAAAATAATGATTCGCATTTCACAGAATGAAGAGATCAGAAGGTGTGGAACGAAATTATGTAAACATTATGTAACATATTAAACAAATTGCACCTTGTATTGCGACTTAATAGTGTCTATTTAGGTCTATAAATGTTTTGTTTGTTTGTATTTTCATTTGGAAAATTTTATCCCACCTGATTGAGTTCCCCCTAGCGCAAGGTGAGATCTCATCTAGCCGGGCTGCATGGCTCGTTTCTCAGATGAACACCAAAATGAATATTATATGCGTTAACAAAGGTCATGCGTATTTCACTCAGGTGAGTTTCCCGGTTACCTGAGCTCATATCAACAGGCTTTTAGAGACGTTATGCAGCTGGAGACTACAGGGAACAGACGACGGGAGAAGAAGGGGTGGATGGACTATGTAAAAGATTATTTTAAATTTTAAGGAACTGACTGAAGAAAAGACTGATTTATAGGGATAAAAAGATGGAGGAGCAGAATTAGACCAGCCGATCCCGGGTCAGTCTGGGACTAGAGCTGGGTAAAAGACGAAGAAGAATTTAGGCGGTTTCATTTAGAACTGATGGTGGAACAGCACACTACACGGCCAGAAATCTCACAGACTTGCTGCAAGTTGCGGAATTTACCTGGCCGCCGCAAGCTGATGACAAGTTGCGTCAGCCCTGATGAATACGTCAAGCCGCGACAGACCTGATGCTACCTGTCTGTCGCAACTGGATGACCGCGGGCCAGCAGCAAGTTGATGAGCGCAGCTTGCAGCAATGCTGTTGAAAACAAGTGGCAACAGGCTTGTCGTTAACAGTTTGCAGCAAGTCTGATGAAATCAACAGGCCTGTTTCGACCTGATGTGAACAGACCTGTTAGGGGCGGACCATTAGAAAATGGGGGAGGGGGGGTGGCAATTTTTTCGGGCAGGATATTTTTTTTTGCAACAACGTTGTGCAAGATTTTTTTTTTCAGCCATGCTTGTGTTGCACGATTTTTTTTTAAAGGAATGTGAACTATAATTTATTAATATTATACAGCCCTATTTATATTACCATTATATATATTGTTTACTGAATATATAATTACATTACATACACACAATACGATATATAGACGTTTATTAAACTGATAAATACAGACAATGTGCATGATAGAAGAAACCCTTCCGGAGTGGCTGGCTGGCCTTGGCATCTGGCAAGATAGTTTCGCTCCCACAGCCCGTCGTAATAAAACCAAGTGCCGTTTACTTGAAATGCACCACGGTAATGGCCACTAGGCTTCCAAAATGTTAGTCCGCAAAGAATGTACCTAGATATTAATAAAAAATACATGAAAAACTGCCGCATATAGTTGGTATTTTATAATAAGTCAAGATGAAAAAAGGCTTTTGTACCTCCGTTGAATGAATTGAAGTTCACCAGGCAGCTGCGACATGCTATGAATTATACCTTTGCGGGAAAAGAGATCCAAGGAAATGAATAGAAAAGGGGGAGCACCCCGTGGAAATTCTCGTCGTGAGTTCTGCCTTTTACCGTTGTAAGTTTTCTGTTTTTGTTATTTTATGTTGTTATTTGTTAATATATAGTGTTTGTATATAAATCAACTTTATATTTTAAATACAGGTTATTTTAAGACAGTACAACTGAATATTTTAGACTGAGATGTGTATGTTTAATATAACTACAGTCTACATTATGTATAATTTTTTACGTTTATATATTTCCATTGATTTACTATTCTCTGAGGTTTATAACTTTACCTAAATATATGTTGGTCTAATAACTTGCAAGATATTTTTTTCCCACGCTGGGTTTCTGCAAGATTTTTTTTTCCTCTGAACTGACCTTGCACGATTTTTTTTTCTGAAATTGCCACCCCCCCCTCCCCCATTTTCTAATGGTCCGCCCCTTATGAACAATGCTGTTAACAATTTTTCAAAAACCAAACAGTAAAATAAGTCACGACAGCAATAATGACTTTTTACAGCGAAGTTTGACAACAGGAAGGGAATGAATTTCGAGGTGAATTTGCAGTTAAATTTCTTGCCTCTGTTCAGAGGATTATAAATTTCAGGTAAGGTGTATCCTTCTATATAGGCTTTCTTTATTTATTGTGTTTCTTTCTCGATTGATTTGTATTTGTTAAATTTGTGTAGAAGACAACCGGTGAACTCCGTGATCGATCATCGGACACAATCCGACTCCGGGTTTGTTGTTTGGAAATCTGCTGTCTGTATGGATCTTGCAGACATCGTGGGAGAGTAGAAAAGACCTTTTTAATGTTTAGCTACAATAGTTTTTGTTAGTTATAGGTAGTTTAAAGTATTTTCCTGTGTTTTCCACGTCTAGATTTTCTGGGGCCGGTTGTACGAAAGGTGGATAAGTTATCCAGTGGATAAGTCCTATATATATCCAATGGATAAATCTCCCATCGAATAGATAGCTATCTGCCGAATAAAAATGCGTTGTACGGAGCACGGATAGCAGGTCACAGATTAAGAGGACCAGATGTCTATGCTTCAGTCAAAAAAGCGTAAGGGCTTCGTCACTGCGCATGCCGTACTGCGCATAGCTTAGCAAGTGACTAGAGGCAGTCACCCCCCCGACATTAAATTTCAAAATGGCGCGCAACAATTTATTTTGAGACAACAAACATGAAAATAAACTCTTTTTATTTGCCCGAGAGAGGGATTGTGTGGTTAAATTTGTGTTTAAAACTTTCAAAGTCAGTACGCGTATTGGAAAAGTGAGTTCATCACACTTAATTTGCAATATTTTACGAATTTTTCTCTTTTTCGATCGTCGTAGGGGTGAAAAACTATAGGCGAAATGAAAATGCCACTTTGCTGAGGTATTTGAAGTCATTTTCTACAATGTACGATGTGTTTCCTTGCACTTTCGACGATGTCTGATATTTATTGACAAATTATGTGCATAATAATAGTTTTCTTTCCATAGATATTTTAAACTAGAAGTAGAAGACAACTAGATACCAACTTAGTTTTGTTTACAAATTTTACATTGTATGCATGAATGTATACCTAGTATTTGTAAATATTAAGTTAATTCATCTATTTATACAAAGACTCTCTGATAAAAATCTTGTAACAGGAAATGTGAGTTTCAGAAACTGTGTGTCTCAGACAAAAATTATTCTAAAATTAAATACCTCACCTAGTCTACAAACAGCAAATTACAAAAATATATAATTTGGGTATATTGGACAGGTTTCCTCTAATGTTAGTACAGACTACATGTGTAGGATATTAGCACACTGACTAAATGGAATTCAATATTTAACATTCTATAAAATCTGTTTTGTTTACACAAGTCTCACAATCTATAGTAATTATATTCCTGACTGGAAAGTTTGCAAAGGGTGCAGCTAATTTTTGTTTTAATATGTAAAATAGTATTATGCCGCAAACTACAAACTTTCCAGACTGCGGCCAATATGAGACTCCTATAGTCGAACCTCCATTAAGCAGCCCTCCTTTACGAATCATGCTTAATATTTTGCTTTATACACATATTAATCACACAGTAAATATAATGTTCAACACATGTCGACACCAACAGGTCAATGTAAGTTTTTGTATCACTGTTCGTTAACACTTCTTGATCTTTTCAGTCTACCTATTACTGTAATCAGTGATTTATGATTGAATAAATAGACATTGGACCCCCCTCCCCCAGTCTACTTTATGGCCACTTCATTGAGCATTGAGGTTGAATTGTATTTTTTATACTATTTAATTTTGTTAATGTTTAACCCATTAAGGGCCAGCACTCCCCCCTTGACAAGTAAAATTGTCTGGCGTTAGACAAAGTGAAACAATAAAGTAGGGCGCATCGGGCCGCAATGCGACTCAATGGGTTATATGTAAAGTAGTATTAGTATATAACAACAACAGGGAGTTGCACATTTGCATGATAACTCTTGTTGCAGGTTAAAGTCATTACAAAGTGAGTAGTTAGACAGATTTATACAACAAATTAGGCTTTTTCAATAATTATGTCATGTATGCCGGTTTAGCCTGGGCAACTTGCTTTCATGTATCAGGACAAAATGTGATTGGATCACTATTCATGGGAATTTGCTGTTTGTAGGTGAGATATTTTAATAAATTTTCTAGAATAATTTTGTCTGAGACACTCAGACACACATTTTCTGAAACTCACATTTCCTGTTACAAGATTTTTATTAGAGAAAATACGTAATAGATGAATTAACTTAATATTTACAAATACTATGTATACATTCATGCATACAATGTAAAATTTGTAAACAAAACTAACTTATCTAGTTGTCTTCTACTTCTAGTTAATATCTATGCAAAGAAAACTATAAATTATGCACATAATTTGTCAATAAATATCATACATCGTCGAAAGTGCAAGAAAACACATCGTACATTGTAGAAAATGACTTCAAATACCTCAGCAAAGTGGCATTGTCATTTCGCCTATAGTTTTTCACTCCTACGACGATCGAAAAAGAGAAAAATTCGTAAAATATTGCAAACTAAGTGTGATGAACTCACTTTTCCAATACGCGTACTGACTTTGAAAGTTTTAAACACAAATTTAACCACACAATCCCTCTCTCGGGCAAATAAAAAGACTTTATTTTCATGTTTGTTGTCTCAAAATAAAATTGTTGCCGCCATTTTGAAATTTAATGTCGGGGGGGTGAATGCCTCTAGTCACTTGCTAAGCTATGCGCAGTAAGGCATGCGCAGTGACCAAGCCCTTACGCTTTTTTCAATGAAGTCGGACATCTGGTCCTCTTAAT